AGAGAGGGAGGGAGGGAGGGAGAATTAATATAACACACACACTGAGTACATTTCCTGATGTCACATTTTATCAAAGTGACTACCCTTGCAAAAATAACAGTTAGTTTTAGTTTTAGTAAGAAACAAAAAATAGGTGGATATTGACGATAGATATTTGTTAGGTGAGCAGCTCACACAAAACCAAAGGGGAGAAGAATAATCACAGAACTAACACTCAAGTCAACCGTTTTAGTGTGTGTGTAGGGGGGGGGGGTAAGAGAGGCCAGGAGACATGCTTACACACATACAGTGAGAAAGAGAGAACAGTCAGTCAAACGTAAAAAAGGGGACAGGGGGTAGAAATCGGCGAGAAACTTCCATGGAAAAGTATGGATTCTTTCATAGCAGTAATAACGAGCCCACGCCATGTGGAACAGCGCAAGTTCTTTTCTCTGCATTACCTTGTTTGTTAAAGATCACCCAACAGGCAAGCGATATCAGCTCCAGCTATTGGTACTTGATTACTGGTTTGGGGGGGGGGGTAATCTACTCTTTGCGTTTCTTTTTAAAGTGTCTGTGAACCCTTCTTATTAGTAGCCCTAAGTTAAATTGTGCAATTATCATACTACAAAAGCGGCATGATAAAATAGTCCCCTGCCATGTACACCATATGACGGATCCATTACTTGCTCAAGCCCTTTTTAAAGGATGATTTTTTGGGAAAATGTTGCCCACTGAGTGCGGTATCGGTGATGCTAGTAACTGAAAGCTGTTCTAATTTCACGCCATGGTGTTAAAACATCACTGTCAATATAAAGTCACCATCACGTGCGACTTGTTGACTTGACACCCCATAAAGTGAAATCAAACATTTGGAAAAATTCAAAGGGGCTAGACAGACTTGGACATGATTTCGTAGAAGCAGCCAGAGCAGTCTTCAACTTAGACATGTGGTCCCAGCCTGAGCAAATTAATATGAAAACAGTAAATGTAGTGTGAAGACAGGTTTGAGGTGTACGAACCGTTTAATTGAACAGGATTTGTTGTTTGTAGAATAAAGAAACAAATTTTTTAATAAACAAGTTGCTTGCGTATTTAAGGAAAATAATTTGTTCAATATTCTTGAATGTGGACTGCAATATTAGTTTGGCAGTACAGAAGAACGGGAAATCAGTGCAGCTGACTATATGTTCAAAATGCAGATTTTAGAAAGGTAGACGTTTTACAACAAAACGCCCATTCCTGGCTGCCTCAAACGGTATGCAAGTGAAGGGGCGCAAATAATTTTTCTGTGAGATCTGGTGCCTAAAAAGTTAAAGCACGTTCAAGAAAGTTTACAATTCGCTTCAAAGGCCTGAGGGCACACGTGCGAATCCTTATCGCGAAACTAATTATGTGCAGCCGTACATGGGTTAAAAACGTCAGCCCGATTTAAAGCGCAACAGCAATTAATGCCAAGATGTTCGAACTCCTCTTCAGACATGAAATAGACCCGAGGAATAAAACAAAGAAGAGGAAAAAGGAATAATGTAGAACGGTAAAAATCAAAATGGACATCGTGACGATATTACATCATTTTGGCCTCGCCATGCTGCTTCGCGTTTTCTACTTGTTTTCCTTTTTTTTTGGGGGGGGGGGGGCATGATATCGATCTGGTGGCGTACTTTCCTTTTCTAGTGTATATTTTCCAAGTTCAATATTAAGTCAACGTATTTTGTTAGTGCTGTTGCTGCTGCAGTTGTTATTGTTGTTGCTGTTAATGTTGTTGTTGTTGTTGTTGTGTAGTTGTTGTTGTTGTTGTTGTTGTTGTTCTTCTTCTTCTTCTTCTTCTTCTTCTTCTTCTTCTT